TGGATGGATGGATGGATGGAAGGAAGGATGGACGGACGTTTGGTTAGATGGTTGGTTGTTTGACTAGTTGGCTGGCTGGCTGGCGGATGGATGGCTGGCTGGCTGGATGGATGGATGGATGGCTGGCTGGCTGGATGGTGCTGGCTGGCTGGCTGGCTGGATGGATGGATGGATGGCTAGTGGCTGGCTGGCTGGCTGGCTGACTGACTGACCTTCGGTGACACACACGAATAAACCTGAACAATGCTTTCTCTAACAGTCACAGTCACTGATACAACAACAGACTTGTATGATCAACTAGGAACAGTAAGCGATTACACATTAGGAATATACAGTACTTACTTGGAAATGGGTAAACAGGTTCCTCACAACTCAGGAATAATGTTCTAATGCGAACAGGCAAATATATCACCAGTTAAATAGCTCCAAACTCAGCTGTTCACTCTTCAAAACAGTAAACTTTCTTAACAATTAGCAAATCAAGTGTCTATCCATTCAAGCATCTACTCATTCAGTCAATTAAATCAAACGGGACTAACCAATCACACATATGGTCGACCAACATTGTAGCCACCCGAAATCCAGATGTCCAACAAAACAGAAATGAGACAACAGTCGAAGTACCCAGTCACATCGAACAGTAAAAATGTGCATGGATGGATTTTCTCAAATATTCTCACAGGAACACACAAAATACACTGCACATTATGTGCATGCATGAATGAATACATGTTGACAAGTTGTATGGAAGACACGACACACGAGATTGTGTTGCGTTTGTTGTGGTGATAATAGAGTGGTAATGCGTGAGATGTTGTGATGTCGACAAGTGTGATTGTTGTTATAACGGGGTTAGTGAATGTCAGCTGACATGTGGACTGGTAGGTCATTCAGTCAGTCAATTAGCCAAGCAGGTAGTCAGTCGGTCTCTCGGTCGGTCAGATGGATGGTCACTTTCTTCCACATGTCAAACCATACTACTGATGAGTAGGACAAATCGGATGATCAAATGTTCAGTTTGTTGTCATATATTCTTTCTCACATTCATCTATTGATGGTTAACACTGGTGTTCCAATGAAATGCCAGTGTCGTTATGATGTGTCACACAGTGCTGACTACACACAGGGTACAGAGAGGTACAGCGAGTCTGTTTGCACTTCAACAACTGTATCAATGAATGACTGACTGAACAACGTATGGATTGGCGCATACATGATCAGTGCAATAGTGAATGACCAATGATATGCATATTGTGTGTTGATTGGTTCACACTTGTATGGTGAGAAGTTGATGATTGAGAATTCATAGTAGTTGTCCGTCGGGCAATGGAGGTGGTTACTTCGTACAGAACAATTGAAATTGTCCTATACCTAATTCGTTAGGTGGTCTACCTAATCGGTGTGCCGAAAGGACCACCTTCGCTATCCCGTCATTTTCATCAACATCATCGCTCACTGATGCACACGTCAACACCCTCACACATCCATATACGAAGCGTAGATGATTCCCGTTAACAGTTCGTGTCCATTCCACTCCCTCTTTCATTCCTCCACCACTTTCAACATGAACAGGCGATTCTACTCCAGTCACACCATTCATCAATCACAGCATCATGTGAAATGGTGTGAAAGTAATCTGAGAGTGAGGTGGACAATGTGGGGAAGACGGTGAAATGACGCTCCTCAACATTATTCACACACTGCTGCTCCATTGGTTTCCCATATCATCTCGCACCTCTCCAAACTTGTCCCAACATTCCCGTGTGAGCGTGTGAGCGTGTGAGCGTGTGTGCGTGTGGGAATTGCACAAGTACACACACATCCCGGTGTCTGTGTTGTCAGTTGACCAATTGAGTCGATAATGATGACAAGATGGTCAAGCACTGCCACTTCTTTCGCTCTGTGCATTGTGTATACACTGATCAGTGTCGTGAAGGTCGAGTGACGACTGTCTAGTTCTTTGAATCTCTGCATATCAAGTTAGTTGTTTGTTTGCTTGTTTATTTGTTTTGCTGATTCGTTTGTTGTATGGTGTGTTGTTGTGTCGTTCGGTCGTTCGGTCGGATGGATGGATGGATGGATGGATGGATGGATGGATGGATGGATGGAAGGAAGGATGGACGGACGTTTGGTTAGATGGTTGGTTGTTTGACTAGTTGGCTGGCTGGCTGGCTGGCTGGATGGATGGCTGGCTGGCTGGCTGGCTGGCTGGCTGGCTGGCTGGCTGGCTGGCTGGCTGGCTGGCTGGCTGGCTGGCTGGCTGGCTGGCTGGCTGGCTGGCAGGCTGGATGGATGGATGGATGGCTAGTGGCTGGCTGGCTGGCTGGCTGACTGACTGACCTTCGGTGACACACACGAATAAACCTGAACAATGCTTTCTCTAACAGTCACAGTCACTGATACAACAACAGACTTGTATGATCAACTAGGAACAGTAAGCGATTACACATTAGGAATATACAGTACTTACTTGGAAATGGGTAAACAGGTTCCTCACAACTCAGGAATAATGTTCTAATGCGAACAGGCAAATATATCACCAGTTAAATAGCTCCAAACTCAGCTGTTCACTCTTCAAAACAGTAAACTTTCTTAACAATTAGCAAATCAAGTGTCTATCCATTCAAGCATCTACTCATTCAGTCAATTAAATCAAACGGGACTAACCAATCACACATATGGTCGACCAACATTGTAGCCACCCGAAATCCAGATGTCCAACAAAACAGAAATGAGACAACAGTCGAAGTACCCAGTCACATCGAACAGTAAAAATGTGCATGGATGGATTTTCTCAAATATTCTCACAGGAACACACAAAATACACTGCACATTATGTGCATGCATGAATGAATACATGTTGACAAGTTGTATGGAAGACACGACACACGAGATTGTGTTGCGTTTGTTGTGGTGATAATAGAGTGGTAATGCGTGAGATGTTGTGATGTCGACAAGTGTGATTGTTGTTATAACGGGGTTAGTGAATGTCAGCTGACATGTGGACTGGTAGGTCATTCAGTCAGTCAATTAGCCAAGCAGGTAGTCAGTCGGTCTCTCGGTCGGTCAGATGGATGGTCACTTTCTTCCACATGTCAAACCATACTACTGATGAGTAGGACAAATCGGATGATCAAATGTTCAGTTTGTTGTCATATATTCTTTCTCACATTCATCTATTGATGGTTAACACTGGTGTTCCAATGAAATGCCAGTGTCGTTATGATGTGTCACACAGTGCTGACTACACACAGGGTACAGAGAGGTACAGCGAGTCTGTTTGCACTTCAACAACTGTATCAATGAATGACTGACTGAACAACGTATGGATTGGCGCATACATGATCAGTGCAATAGTGAATGACCAATGATATGCATATTGTGTGTTGATTGGTTCACACTTGTATGGTGAGAAGTTGATGATTGAGAATTCATAGTAGTTGTCCGTCGGGCAATGGAGGTGGTTACTTCTACATATACCCAATTCACTATGTGGTCCACCTAATCGGTGTGCCGAAAGGACCACCTTCGCTATCCCGTCATTTTCATCAACATCATCGCTCACTGATGCACACGTCAACACCCTCACACATCCATATACGAAGCGTAGATGATTCCCGTTAACAGTTCGTGTCCATTCCACTCCCTCTTTCATTCCTCCACCACTTTCAACATGAACAGGCGATTCTACTCCAGTCACACCATTCATCAATCACAGCATCATGTGAAATGGTGTGAAAGTAATCTGAGAGTGAGGTGGACAATGTGGGGAAGACGGTGAAATGACGCTCCTCAACATTATTCACACACTGCTGCTCCATTGGTTTCCCATATCATCTCGCACCTCTCCAAACTTGTCCCAACATTCCCGTGTGAGCGTGTGAGCGTGTGAGCGTGTGTGCGTGTGGGAATTGCACAAGTACACACACATCCCGGTGTCTGTGTTGTCAGTTGACCAATTGAGTCGATAATGATGACAAGATGGTCAAGCACTGCCACTTCTTTCGCTCTGTGCATTGTGTATACACTGATCAGTGTCGTGAAGGTCGAGTGACGACTGTCTAGTTCTTTGAATCTCTGCATATCAAGTTAGTTGTTTGTTTGCTTGTTTATTTGTTTTGCTGATTCGTTTGTTGTATGGTGTGTTGTTGTGTCGTTCGGTCGTTCGGTCGGATGGATGGATGGATGGATGGATGGATGGAAGGAAGGATGGACGGACGTTTGGTTAGATGGTTGGTTGTTTGAATAGTTGGCTGGCTGGCTGGCTGGATGGATGGATGGATGGCTAGTGGCTGGCTGGCTGGCTGGCTGACTGACTGACCTTCGGTGACACACACGAATAAACCTGAACAATGCTTTCTCTAACAGTCACAGTCACTGATACAACAACAGACTTGTATGATCAACTAGGAACAGTAAGCGATTACACATTAGGAATATACAGTACTTACTTGGAAATGGGTAAACAGGTTCCTCACAACTCAGGAATAATGTTCTAATGCGAACAGGCAAATATATCACCAGTTAAATAGCTCCAAACTCAGCTGTTCACTCTTCAAAACAGTAAACTTTCTTAACAATTAGCAAATCAAGTGTCTATCCATTCAAGCATCTACTCATTCAGTCAATTAAATCAAACGGGACTAACCAATCACACATATGGTCGACCAACATTGTAGCCACCCGAAATCCAGATGTCCAACAAAACAGAAATGAGACAACAGTCGAAGTACCCAGTCACATCGAACAGTAAAAATGTGCATGGATGGATTTTCTCAAATATTCTCACAGGAACACACAAAATACACTGCACATTATGTGCATGCATGAATGAATACATGTTGACAAGTTGTATGGAAGACACGACACACGAGATTGTGTTGCGTTTGTTGTGGTGATAATAGAGTGGTAATGCGTGAGATGTTGTGATGTCGACAAGTGTGATTGTTGTTATAACGGGGTTAGTGAATGTCAGCTGACATGTGGACTGGTAGGTCATTCAGTCAGTCAATTAGCCAAGCAGGTAGTCAGTCGGTCTCTCGGTCGGTCAGATGGATGGTCACTTTCTTCCACATGTCAAACCATACTACTGATGAGTAGGACAAATCGGATGATCAAATGTTCAGTTTGTTGTCATATATTCTTTCTCACATTCATCTATTGATGGTTAACACTGGTGTTCCAATGAAATGCCAGTGTCGTTATGATGTGTCACACAGTGCTGACTACACACAGGGTACAGAGAGGTACAGCGAGTCTGTTTGCACTTCAACAACTGTATCAATGAATGACTGACTGAACAACGTATGGATTGGCGCATACATGATTCAGTGCAATAGTGAATGACCAATGATATGCATATTGTGTGTTGATTGGTTCACACTTGTATGGTGAGAAGTTGATGATTGAGAATTCATAGTAGTTGTTCGTCGGGCAATGGAGGTGGTTACTTCTCCATATACCCAATTCACTATGTGGTCCACCTAATCGGTGTGCCGAAAGGACCACCTTCGCTATCCCGTCATTTTCATCAACATCATCGCTCACTGATGCACACGTCAACACCCTCACACATCCATATACGAAGCGTAGATGATTCCCGTTAACAGTTCGTGTCCATTCCACTCCCTCTTTCATTCCTCCACCACTTTCAACATGAACAGGCGATTCTACTCCAGTCACACCATTCATCAATCACAGCATCATGTGAAATGGTGTGAAAGTAATCTGAGAGTGAGGTGGACAATGTGGGGAAGACGGTGAAATGACGCTCCTCAACATTATTCACACACTGCTGCTCCATTGGTTTCCCATATCATCTCGCACCTCTCCAAACTTGTCCCAACATTCCCGTGTGAGCGTGTGAGCGTGTGAGCGTGTGTGCGTGTGGGAATTGCACAAGTACACACACATCCCGGTGTCTGTGTTGTCAGTTGACCAATTGAGTCGATAATGATGACAAGATGGTCAAGCACTGCCACTTCTTTCGCTCTGTGCATTGTGTATACACTGATCAGTGTCGTGAAGGTCGAGTGACGACTGTCTAGTTCTTTGAATCTCTGCATATCAAGTTAGTTGTTTGTTTGCTTGTTTATTTGTTTTGCTGATTCGTTTGTTGTATGGTGTGTTGTTGTGTCGTTCGGTCGTTCGGTCGGATGGATGGATGGATGGATGGATGGATGGATGGATGGATGGATGGATGGAAGGAAGGATGG